TAGGGCTAGGATTAAATATGAGCCCAAAGTCCATTCATATATCTTTGGTTTACATGTGTCCTTGGTTCATTTTAGAGACACCATTATTATTTTATTGGATAACATTAAAAATCATCTCCATGGGGCTTAAGGTATCAGTATCAGTAGTTTACCCAGTGGTATAGAATTTAGAACATTGTTAATAAAAGGAAATTATACATGTAACAGGCCAGCTTTCTAGACCACACTATGTGAATTGTTGATTTGTACAGATTCAACACTTATGTGACTAGTTACACAAATAGTGAGGGCTGAGGACAGGGAGCAACTTTTAATACCACTCATGTACAAAGGCAGAACCATGCCTGTTAGACAGACGTGTCATAGAAAAGGAAAGGGAGCATGAAAATAGTAAGCACGTGGCAGTCCCAGGCCGCCCTACATGGGACCTCCTCAAAGGGAGAGATGTGAACCGAACTCAGTCAGATGACCTTGGGATAGTGAATTTCCAAATCCGATCTTTACTGGGTGGCCTGTGAAAAGTGTTGTGCATCTCAAAAGGACAGAGTCTAAAGTCCTACTTATCTATGGCCTGGGTCACCAAAGTCTGTGTAAAAACTACGTCCAAAATGTCCAATTAAGACACTTCACTCAGCATCATGGTTTCTGGGTCTACTCATGTTATGAAGTTTTGTGGTTTCGTCACTGTAGTTGTAGGGATGCATGGTATTCCATTCACCGCTTGGCTGTCAGTGTGTTGGACTGTGGTGGCTTCTGTGATGCTGGAAGCTCTGTCAGTGGTATTTCGAATGCCAGCAGGATCGCCCAAAGGGAACAGGTTTCAGTGGAGCTTCCAGACTCAGAACAGACAACGAAGGACTGGGTTCCCACCTCAGTGGAAGGAGTCACTGAAAACCGTCTGCATAGCTTTGCAGTGTTGTCAGATCCTGAGGCCTACAAAATGGACGCAGAACCTTGAGGATGGGCCCCTCAGGCCGGAGGGCACTCGGAATGTGGCCGAGGAAGAGCTGCTTTCTTAGAGTGGAGTCAACCATGACTTGAGTCCGGTAAAGCCTGTGGGAGTGGAGCCTTTGGGATCTTCATTTGCTCATGGGGCAGGACCTGAGGTAAGGCGAAAAAGCTGCAAATGATCAGATCTTGGAATGTGTGCGAAGTATGAATCTAGGAAAGTAGGAAGTCATCAAAAATGAAATGAATGCATAAAGATCAATATCCTAGGCATTTGTGAGCTGAAAGTGATGGGTATTGGCTATTTTGAATCAGAAAATAAAATGATTTACTATGCTGGAAATAGCAATCAAAAGGACTGGTGTGACATTATCAAACAGGACATTGCAAACTCAATTATTAAGTACAGTGCTGTCTGTGATAGAATTACACCTATCTACCTTCAAGGAAATCTAATAAATACATCTATTCAAATTTATGTGCTAATCAAAAAAGCTGGTGAGGAAAGAAATTAAAGAATTCCATCAGGGACTTCAGTCTGCTAATGGTTGGAACTTGGAATGTATGAATTATGAATGTAGTAAAATTGGAAGTTGTCAGAGGGATCTTGGCTCAAAGCAGAGTATGTGAGTCTGGGTAGACTAGAGAAACAAACTCCTGGACACTCATATGTATATAGAAAAGAGCTTTATATAAAGAGTAATTGTACATTAACAAAACATTCCAGCCCAGTCCAGATCGAGTCCATAAGTCCAATATTAGCCCATATGTCCAATACTAGTCCATAAATTCCCTCTTTAGACTCACGCAGCCATGCAATAATGCCAAATGCAGGAAGATCACAGGCCAGTAGGTGGAAAGTCTTGTAGATCCAGTGGCGGTATAAGCATCTTAGCACTGGCAGGGGTCTTCACGTGCTCCTACAGTTCCCAGGGCTCTGGCTGCATCAGCACAGCTCCATGTGGCTTGTCTCGGGAATGTCTCCCATGGAGTGAGTATGTGTCCCACCTCCAGTGAGCCTTTTATCTTCTTGGTGCCTCCAAATGAGCTTGAAGAGCTCCAAATCATCAAGCTGCGACTGCTTGATGGACTAACGTCCACCCTTTCACTCTTAAGTCTCAAATGGACAACAGATTATGTAACTACCCTACAGAGAATACCAGAAAGATGTTAACTTGTGTTTCATTGACTATGCTCAGGCATTCGACTGTGTGGAGACCATAATAAACTGTGGATAACCTTGAGATGAATGGGAATTCCAGAACACTTCATTGTGCTCATTCAGAACTTGTCCATGCATCAAGAGATGGTGTGAGAACAGAACAAGGGGATGCTGCATGATTTACAATCAGGAAAGGTGTGCATCAGGCTTGTATCCTCTCACCATAGCTGTTCAATCTACATGCTGAGCAAATCATCAGAGAAGCTGGGATATATGTGAAAGAACTGGAGGCAAGAACGGGACACGAGTGTTGTTTATTGGCTTTGTTTTTGGAAACGGGACCTATGGGGTTATATTCAAACTACAGGGAGATCAAAGGGAGCAGGGTGAAAGAAAATTAGAATAGCCTCATGGAGGGAGGTTAGAGCTGCAGCCTAGGCTAAAGCCAGAGAGCCAGCCAGTCTAGAGAGCACGGAGGAGACAAACTGCAGAGGGGCAGACAGCAGAAAGGGGTAGCAGAGAGAAGACACAGTAGGGCAGAGACCAGCCATGGGATGCAGAAAGGGCAGAAGTGGGATGAGAGTGAGACAAAGAAAGCACGTCCTAATGTACTTTTTGGGACAGTCAATCATTAAGTTTGGAAGGGTCCCACGCATCTTCCTGATTGGGAAGTTTGAATGAGGCGGGGCAACGTAGCCTTTTATGCGCACAGGGACCCTCTAGCATGCAGGAAGAAGGGAGGGGCGGCAGGGGAAAGAGACACTTGTAAATAGTTGGAAGCTGCCCCGCTGTACTTATTAATATGAAGAGTGTATCACGATTGGTGGAAAGCTTATTAATAACCTGCGGTATACAGATGACACAACCTTGCATGCTGAAAGTGAGGAGGAATTGAAGTACTTGCTGATAGTGATCAAGGATTGTAGCCTTCAGAATGGGTTATATCTCAATATAAGGAAGACCAAAATCCTCACACTGGACCAATAGGTAACACCATGATAAATGAAGAAAAGGTCAAAGATTTTGTCTTACTTGGATCCACAATGCTCATGGGAAGTGAAGAAATAAAACGATATATTACATTAGGTAAATCTGCTGCACAAGGACTCTTTAGAATATTGAAGAGCGAGGACGTTACTTTGAGGACTAAGGTGCACCTGACCTAACCTATGGTATTCTCTATTGCATCATATGCATGTTAAAATTGGACATTGAATAATACAAGGATCTACATATAATCTCCTCTCTGAGGGACGGACAACAGAAAAGTGGGTGAAGGGAGACGGCGGACAGTGTAAGATAGGACAAAACAATAATCATTTATAAATTATCAAGGGTTCATGAGGGAGGAGGAAGCGGGGAAGGAGGGGGAAAATGAGGAGCTGATACCAAGGGCTCAAGTAGATAGCAAATGTTTTGAGAATGATAGTGGCAACAAATGTACAAAAGGAAGACAGTAGAAGTGATACATTTGAACTGTGGTGCTGGAGGAGAATATTGAAAGTACCATGGACTGCCAAAAGGACAGACTACTCTTTATTGGAAGAAGTGAGGCCAGAGTGCTTCTTGGAGGCAAAGATGGCGAGACTTCATCTTACATACTTTGGACATGTTATCAGGAGAGACCAGACCCCGGAGAAGGTCATCATGTTTGGTAAAGTGGAGGGGTGGCGAAAAAGAAGGCCAGCGACAAGATGGATTGACACAGTGGGTACATCAAAGGGCTCAGGTATGGGAACAATTGTGAGGATGGCCCAGGGCTGTGTAGTGTTTCCTTCTGTCGTGCATAAGGTCCCTCTGGGTCATAGCCAACTGGATGGCACCAAACAACATCATTATCATCATAGTAGGTATAAGGTGTTATCTCTTTGTTGTCTTGATTTGGGCATTTCACGGATGACTAGTGATCATGAACCTTTTTTCCATGTGTTTATTAGCCACTTGAGTGTCATTTTTGGTGAACTGTCTGGTCATGTCTTTTGCCTACTGTTGAACTAGATTTATTTTTCCTTATTGAAGTGTTGCATCATTCTATAGATTTTAGTAATTAGTCCCTTGTTAAAGCTACCCATTTGTGGTATTTCTGTTATAGTAGCACAACTAACACAAGGGGAAGAGCTAAAATAGTTTTGTCACAGGTACTTGTGATCTTAAAATGGATAGAGTTGCTTCGTTTGTGTATGCTCTGGACTCTTCTGATAAAAAAGACTTGAAGTAGTCTCAATAAAAATGTAAAGGCAGGTTCCATGTGTTAGTAGTGCTGGGTGTGTTAGTCTAGGATGACTAGAGAAACAAATCCAGAGACATTCATATGTGTATAAGAAAGAGCTTTGTATTCAAGAGCAATTGGAAATTTTAAAAAAAAAGCCCAGTCCAGATCAAGTCCATAAGTCCGATATTAGCCCATATGTCTGATACCAATCTATAAATTCCTCTTCAGACTCACGCAACACATGCAGTGATGCCAAATGCAGGAAGATTATGGCAGAAAGTCTTGTGGATCCAGTGGCAGTGGACGCATCTCAGCACGGCGGGGGTCTCCATGCGGCTCCTTCAACTCCAGGGCGCTAGCGTAGCTCTGTGTTTGTCCGTAGGAATGTCGTGTAAGGAGTCTCTGTGTCCTGCCTCCAGCCAGGCCTCCAATGAGGTCATCAAGTTGCAACTGGATTGACAGGCTAAAATCTACCCCTTCACTCTTAAGTCTCAAATTGACAACAGATTACCGAACTACCACAGTGGGTGTAGACATAGAGTGATTGGTCTGATGTCTGGGTAATATAGCAGATGTTAGGAGACCCATATTTTTGTTTGAACTGCTTGTGGAATTACTTCAGTGCCCAGTTCTATCAGTTTCACCCATCCTCCACCACACTAATATCATTTGTTTTAGGAGTCTGTGATGTTTGAGGATGTGGCTGTGGAGTTCACTGTGGAAGAATGGGCTTTGTTGGATCCTGCTCAAAGGAAGCTCTATAAAGATGTGATGCTGGAAACCTTTAGAAACTTGGCATCAGTAGGTAAGAATGGCATTACTCTTTCACTTCACTATTGATATAGCAAATATCTCTTGCTCATCTAGACTGTTCCAAGATTTGTAATGTGGAAGGGGAAATACACTGGTAAAGGGGATTGACATGGTCACCACGTTATAGAGCTGGAGTCCAATGATTTCTCCATGACTATCTATGCATTAAACTGAGTTTTTCCTTTTGTCATGGTTAAAAGGCTTGAAATTCCTTTGTTATCATTAGTGTGCATTTAGATTTCACAGCCCTAGAGACATTTGTTTTTGGAAACTTTGAGGGAATTTTCTTGTGTTTATTAAGTTATTTTCCATTTTGATCTGTCATCAATAACTTCTTTAAACACAAAAATTTCTTAAAATATTTGACACAATTTTCCTTTTCTTTGTAAGATTTGTGCACTTTTTGATTTCAGTCGATGAGACTCTATGTAAGGTTAGTGGGCCAGGATATTTCTGGGGCAAAACATACTGAAGCAACATAGAATACCAGTGTTCATAAGAAATGATTCTTATGCTTCCATTTTAGGAAAAAGCTCAGAAGACCTTAGCATTGAAGGTCAGCACAACCATGGGAGGACCGTGAGGTGAGTTGCACTCGTAGGAGAAAGCAGTGTCCCAGGAGAGAACCTTAATTTGTCATGAAATTTTAAAAGCAGATAAACAAAAACTCAACCCTATCCTAGCTTTACCTATCTGTAATAAGTTTTCACAAAAAAGTTTTCATTAAATGTGACTTAGACACTGAGTATCTAAAATATAATTCATCTGGGAGCAGTTACTAAAACCCACATTTAAGACATATTGTTTTAATAAGGCTGTGGTCCAACCTTCTTCCAGAGATTCCAGACGTATTCCCCTTTTATACCATTCACAGAGCCTGAAACCTTCACTGAAAATTATAAAAATGTAATCTTAGTGGTTATCAATAAATGTTAAAAGTCATTTATATACCATTAATAAAATTGTTCTCATTTTTAACAGAAATCATATGGTTGAGAGACTCTCTGAAAGCACTGAACCTAATCAATGTGGAGCAACCTCTTACCAGATTGCAAATCTTAGTCTGTACAAGAGCACACCTGCTGGACTGAATCTATATGATAGCAGTGAGTGTGGAAATATCTTCCTGCATCGTTCCTCTCTTAGAAAGGCGCAACCCAGAGTTCATACGGGACATAAGCCACATCAATGTCAGGAATGTGGGAAGGCCTTTAGTTGCCCATCCTACCTGAGAACACATATGAGAAGTCACAGTGGGGAAAAACCTTATGCGTGCCAATTATGTGGGAAAGCCTTCAGTTATCTCCATTCTTATCGAAGGCATGAAAAGACCCATAGTAAAGAGAAACCCTATGAATGTAAAGAATGTGGGAAAGCCTTTAAGTGGCCTTTATCCTTACAGACACATATGAGTACACACACTGGTGAGAAACCCTATGAATGTAAGCAGTGTGGGAAAACCTTCAAATGGTCCTTATCCCTACGAACACATATGAGCACACACACTGGAGAGAAACCTTACGAATGTAAGCAGTGTGGGAAAGCTTTCATTTGGCCTACGTCATTATGTACACATAGGAGAACACAGTGTGGAGAAAAGCCCTATGAATGTGAGCAGTGTGGGAAAACCTTCAGTTGGGCCATATCCTTCCAAAGGCATGTGAGAGTGCACACTGGAGAGACACCGTATGAATGCAATCAATGTGGGAAAACCTTCAAATGGCCCATCTCTTTACGGACACACATGACTACACATACTGGAGAGAAACCCCATCAATGTAAGCAGTGCGGGAAAGCTTTCAGTCAAATCTCACATCTTCGAGAACATGTGAGAATGCACACTGGAGAGAAACATTATGAATGTAAGGAATGTGGTAAAGCCTTCAAGTGGTCATCCTCTTTGCTGAAACATACAAGAATGCACAGTGGAGAGAAACCCTATGCATGTGAACAGTGTGGGAAAACCTTTAAATGGCCATTATCCTTACGAACACACATGAGCACACACACTGGAGAGAAACCCTATGAATGTAAGCAGTGTGGGAAAGCTTTCATTTGGCCCACGTCATTACATACACATAGGCGAACACAGTGTGTAGAGAAACCCTATGAATTAATTGTACTATAAGTAAGCAGCTACTGAAACAGTGAACCTCTGGTATTTTTTTGGATTTTCTTACTACTGTTGAGTAGTTGATACTGGCTGTCTATTATATTCATTCTACTCTTAGTGAGAAAATCTGATCTCTCTCTCTTTCCCCTCCCAGTACTGCCAGTGTATTTATTATCCTTGCTAGTGAAGAGTTGGCAGAAATTTGTCATTAGGCAAAGCCCTTCTAAAAGTAGAATATGAAGTGAATTGTATTTTCAACCTTTGCCCCTTTCTTTTTGACCTTATTTTTGATTGGAAATTTTGCAGTAGGTTTTGTATTTAGACACCTGCTATTTAATAATGAAATTTAAAGTTGGAGATGGTTCTCTTGGATTATGTTATGCCAATGTGGGTTTGTTAGAAATTACATTTACCAAAATCCTTGGCACAAACACACGGACATACCTTATGACTAACATTTCTAAACTAAGGAATGAAGGAATACTTTCAGACTACCTAAAACAGTGTTTCCCAAAGTGGGCCACACCACTCCCTGGGGTTACTAGATGGATTCAGGGAGGCTAAAAAGGCTGATACCTACACTTTAACCTGGATTATAGGCTATACTACAAAAGCTTTTAATTGTCAGCAAGTCACTGAGTAATTATTTTTTTGAAGACGAGGTGATAGGCCAAGTAAGTTTGGGAACCTATGACCTAAAAGGAAGAAATTGCCACAGCCGCAACCCAGATTTGAATTTGTAGCCTCCAAAACAGTAAGAAAATAATTTTCTGTTCTTTAAAGTCATTCATTTTCATTGCAGAATTAGATAACTATACAGAATTTGGTGCCAGAGAGTCAGGGCATTACTCTATTACATATGTATTAATACGGGAAGAGCTTTGTCACCAGGCAATGTACTTTTGTTGAGGATTTAAAAGGAAATGTTGAACCTTTTATTTGATACTGAAGAAAGGATGATTCTTTTTGCAAGGTGGCAAAGTATGCCTAAATTATGTTGACTGCTATGTGGAAAATAGAATATTTGACTGAGGAGATTACCAAGAAAAACTTTGAAAATCTAGTATGACTTCTCTTTGCTACTTAAGAGTAAAATTTGAGACGAAAGAGGTACACTGAAAAATAAAGTATACGACAAGAACCCAGAATTTCTGAAAGTTTGCAATATCCTGTTGTACAAACTTAGAAATCATGTTGTAGTACTTTTACCAAGAGCACGGCTATGCAAGCTTTTGCTAAAGACGTATAGTCTGTGACTGATAGATCTAATCAACTACCTCATCAGAATTCTGTCAGCTTAGCGTGAAAGGGATAGAGACAGCACAAAATGAAGGAAAGCCTTGTAAGTCTATGGGCAGAAGGAAACTTGATTTTGAACATGTTCTCCTCCAAGAAAAGGAAAACACCATCCCAGGTACCATTCTTCAATTAGTAGAAGCACAGGGGGACAGGGCTGCCTCGGTTTCTCAGGGTAGAATCACTGCTTCCTAGTTTCTGAGAGTAAAATTGCCTTTCAGACAAGACCGTGGGGCTGAGAGGCGGAGGTTGCCCATCAGTGGGCTAGAAGAACAGTGTTAGCTGGGCATGGTGCTTTTGGTGTCACCACTCAGCTGTCCCCAGTAAATGGGCTCCTAAAGCCAAGTGAGCAGGATGACTGTCCCATTGGGCTTAGAAAGTGACACACAGAGATAGCTAATGCTCTGAAGCTGGAGGGCAGCGCCCTTGCTCAAATATGACTGGAACACAGGTTGTTTTAAGCTCCGACAGCTAATGAAATTTGTTTTGCGGGGTTTTGAACTTACTTTGGACCTGTGACCCTTTGCTTCCTTCCAATTTCTGCCCTTGGAGTGGGAACATCTACTTTGTGCCTGTTCCACCATTGGACTTTGGAACGGGGAGGCTTTACAAGCTGACATATGGAAGAGAAATTTTGCTCTAGGATGGAGCATGCCAAGACTCTTACCCAAGCTTAGTTTAGAAAATTCAGAAGGGGGAATTTTGTATTTAGAGTTGATATTGAATGGGTTAAGACTTGTGGATGATGTAATAGGTTGCATGTGAGAAAATGATGAGTTTTTGGGAGCTGGTGGGTGGAATGTTAGAAATGTAAATGTGTCCCTGAGACATATGTGTGAAATCCTATCTCCTATACATGTGGATGCAACCCTACTTATATTAGAACTTTCTTTTTCATGTTAATAAGGCCATGTCAGTGTAGAGTGTGTCTTGAACATGGCACTTGTGATTTAGAGAGAGAACAGAATAGACATAGACATAAGCACAAACAGGTGAAGATCGATGCCACATGAAGGTACAAAGTCTACAGAATCGAGGACCACCTAGGACTGTCGAGAAGGAATGAATCCACATGGCCTGATCCTGATTGGAAGTTTAACTTCCAGAACTGTGAGGAAATAACCTCTGTTTTTGAAAACGCACTGACTTGCATTTGTGTAGTAGCAGGGCTAGACAAGTAAGACAACTGGAGAGCCTCGAAGAAGAAAAATGTAATGCGTTTCATAAGGGAAGATGGAAGCTGTCTTTTAATGACCCTCAAAGCCTCCAAAAGGCCATTTCCTTTTTGCATATACCTAGAATTCCAGCACTTGCTAGGGAGGAGGAAAAAATTGTAGCACCTTATGTTTTAAGGAATAAAGGTAATCTTTCTCCACTTTTTTCCATGTTATATTTTCACATCAAGTAATCTGCGTCTTATTTTAGCTCCCACCCATATCATCCCTATTTTCAAGCAAATTGAGGTTAATCATTCACTATGCAGAATTCTACCAAAACGCACAATGCTTATCATATAACCTATTGGTTTTGAAGATTATTCTTGCTACCATCTGAACTTGGTATTGTCAAAACAATTGTAATTATGTCATCACATTCTACAAACAAGACTCCTTGGGCTGTATGGCCTGATTTTACCTGAGGCAGTGGAGAAGGTAGAGTGATCTAATGCAGATTAAAGGTTATGAATGGTACAAATTTGAATACAAATGACCTACAAAAGTGTGCTTTGTGGTGGTAATGGACTGATCTCCACCTTGATAGTGGTGTAAATATGCATTTATGAAAACTCATAATTTAAGCTGCTCTTAAAATGATTAATTTCACTGTATTTTAAGAAACACAAATCTAGCAAACAACCTCTTCACATAGTAAGAGAAAGCTTAACTGTCAATGTTGGTTTGTGGGCACACGACACCACCTTTTCTCTGTAATCTTGGGGTCTTTGAGAGAATTGAAGAAGTGGAGAAGAACCTGTGAACCCAGCTGTACTGAGGACACGTGCTCTGTGGACCTCCTCCGCCTTCCAGCCATGGGATAAATGGGAAAGCAGTCATTCTGTTGACGTTCAAATTGATCTGTGCCTGTGACAAGCTTTGTGTGCAAACTCCAACATACTTGTCTGTTGAGTCTAATCATTCAATAAGTATTCATTGAAGCTGAATGTTAGGGATTGAACCATGTCTGCTGCCACCTCCCACCCGAACCCCCCAAAAGAACAAAATGAAACAACAAAACTATTGGAAGCCCAACCCCATATGTGTGAACATTATATAATCACTTGCCTTAATACAATGTTATGCAGTATCAATTAGTGAAGGTCCTACCAGTGTAGGGTAGGTTCCAAGTAGAACCATTTTTCAGTTTTATAGAGGAACCTAGATACAAGAGGACTACAGGTTGTGCAGTGGTTAGCGTACTCGGCTGGGAATGGAAAGGTTGGTAGTTCAAATCCACCTGTCTGCTCGTGCTTAGATTACGGCCTTGGAAACCCAACAAGCCATTTCTCTGTTTGCTATGAGCATAAATAGACTTTGATTGCAGTATGTGGATTTATGTTGATCGGTATTGAGAGGTGTACACAGAGCAGAGGGAAGACAGATGCCAAATGAGGACTGTCTACAAACAAAGCAAGGAGCAGGAATGCAGAGGACTGTCATAAAAGAAAGAAATCCACTCGGCTCAGACCCTGGTCTGAACTTTCCCTATTTATATAAGGAAATAAATACTCATCCTTTAAAGTCATGCAACTGTGGTACTATTAACTCTAAAATGCCCTGGAAAAGCAGAGCCAATTCATTACAAGTTAGACAGAAAAATATAAAATTTATTAGACAGTGACGCCAGTAGGGTGACCATCAGAAAAGCAGGCTGTCTTTTTACTGTGGAATTCACACTCGGGGGGAGCCATGTATAAATGCTTTCCATCAAGTCAGGTTTCAGGATAACATATGGGATATACTGTTGATCATGAACAAGCAAACAGAATATAAGGTTAAGTTGTAAGACTATCCAAGATGCCTCTGTTGCCTAACCAGTTAACATGAATTAGCTTTTTGGAATGATCCCCACTCAGTGTTGGCTGGTGGCTCTTTCAGAAAACATGTTTACCTCTGAGCAATACAGAAAGTTATAAAAATTCCAGAGGCTGAAGTAAAGGTCAGGAAAAACATGGTATAAGTTAGGCCAGGGGTCCTCAAACTGCGGCCCACGGGCCACATGTGGCCCGCCGAGGACATTTATCTAGCCTGCCGGGTGTTTTTGCCCGTTTTGTTTTTTTACTTCAAAATAAGATGTGCGGTGGGGTCTGAGCTGTCGGAGTGTGAGAGCGGACGGGAACCTGGTAGCATTATGTCTTTCTGCAGCTTCTCCAGGGGCGAGGTTTTCCAAAATCACTTTGAACACGCTGTCTACGTGTGTGCCAAGTGCGGCTACGAGCTGTTCTCCAGCCGCTCCAAGTA